CCTCACTGCTGTGCACCTGGAAAACGGTTCAAAAATCTTCAAAACTACACCATGGCTGCCCTATACCACACAAATCAATCAACAGAAAACCAGTGATTGGTTAACTTTACTTTTTAGACCTCATCAAGAAAACTGACTGAACTCAAATTTAACCTCATTTAAATTTTCATAAAACTGACAGTTCTCTAGAATCAAATGCAGGATAATGTGCTTTCCTACCAAACATCAACAAGTGTGGGTCTTTTTTTGTCCACAGTCCAAACATTTGTCCCCACTTTTGAGGTCTTTGTTCCATGCAAGTCTGCAGAGAGCCCTGAAAATAATATTAGATTGTTGAGATTTTTCAAAAATGTTTAACAACAATAAAAATGAGTGAATGGTGATGCTTTTCCTTCCCTACTTTTTGGATGATTCCATTCATTCTTGGAGGATGATATGGAGCACAACAGACTGTTGTTGAATCTGTTTAGACACATACGTCATTCCCAGACATTTGAGAGACAAATAGAGAGGTCAAATATAGTGTGTAAAAATGTGTAAGTCTGGCATCACCACATTTACAAACTGGCTCTCCTGGTCAGTCAGAACCCTCTCTGGTGCATTCACAGTGGTGATGGGAAAAAGTAAAATGAACCCTTGGACTTAATAACTGGTTGAACCTCCTTTGGCAGCAATAACCTCAACCAGGCGCTTTTAGTAGCTGCTGATCAGACCTGCTCAATGTTCAGGGGGATTTTGATCATTCTTCCTACAGAACTGCTTCAGCTCAGACATATTCTTCGGATGCCTTGTGTGCTCTTGAGGTCAATCCCACAGTATCTCAAATGGTTAAGGTCTGGATTTCTTTTATTGAAGCCATTCTGTAGTGGATTTACTTCAGTGTTTAGAGTCATTTCCTTCTGCATCAGCGCCTTGAAATCATCCTGTATGATTCCCTGATAAACTTGGGAATTCATTTTGTCCAGGTCCAGAGGCAGCAAAGCCCAAACCATTGATGCTTCCTCCACTGTACTCACACCATTGGATGATGTTTTCATGTTGGTATGTGGTGCCCTTTTTATGCTATATGTAGTGCTGCACGTTCCTCCTGAAAAAATTCAACTTTAGTTTCATTAGTCCATGAAATATTTTCTTAGTAGCGTTGTGGAATGTCAATCTGCTCTTTGGCAAACTTCAGGCGCACAGCAATCTTTTTGTTTGTTTTTTGGAGCAGCAGCAACTTTTTTGGAGAGATGTGTCCTGCCTATGGACACCCTGCCTGCTCAATGTTTTGCGATATAGTACACTTAGAACAAGAGATGTTGGTCAGTTCCAATGATTCCTTCAAGTCTTTTGCTGTCACTGTAGGGTTCTTCTTTACCTCATTGAAGAATCTGCGTTGTGCCTTTGGAGTCATCTTGGTATTGTGCCCACTTCTAAGGAGAGCAGCCGCAGAACTAAAATCATCTCCAATTTACAGAACAGTTTGTTCTTGAATGTGGACTGATGAAGATCTAAACTCTTTGAGTGACTTTGTAACCTTTTGCAGCTTCTTGTGAACAACAAACTCAAAAAAAGTTTGAGTCAGTGTCGCTAACCCCACATCCTTCATTATTAGACTGCAGGTGTGTTAATCCTAACTCCAATTATATTCACATACTTTTTCCAAACCTACACTGTGAATGTTTTGAATAATGTACATAAAATATGACTGCAATAGATTACAATAATGCCATGTAAAACAATCCCATGAATGCCAGCTGGGCCAAAGCCTCACGTAGTCCACACAGGATGTTTTCCAGGGGAAGTAGGCTGTCTGTAGACACACGTTTTCAGTTCAAAGTCTTTATCCAGGAAGTGTACGTGAGGCTGATGTAGGGCTCTGTCATGTTCAACTTGACCCAATTCCACTCTCTTCCTGCATGTCTCATACATTTTTGGAATAAGCGACTTGGGAAGAATAATTTCGTGATAGAAATCTGGTATCTTTGGTCCAATTTGTTTATCAGACTCACAAAAACCATCTCTGGTCACTGTGTTTATAGACATCTTGTCCTTAACCTGAACCAGTTATGGCCTCTGTTATTTCTTGGAAGCGTTCGGATGTTTTGTCAGGAGGAGTCACAGTCCTGTTGTTGCAATGATGGCCAAGAGTTTAGATTTACTGCTACTCAACGTTTGTGGTTTTGTACTCTGTGTTTTGTGTAATTCTTTATGTTGTGCAGCAGGTGGTGATGGAGGTTGGTTGTGTTTCCTCTGGAAGTTGCCACAACTGTTGTGCATGTTTTACACAGTAACTGTGTTTGTAACAGTTGTCTCTCCTGAATCCAAGATCATTTCAAACAGCAGAAAGTACTGTTCTTCTCTTCAACCACATTTTCAATGGTCTCTCCATCCTCTGCCATCACACCAATTAATCTGAGGGGGAGCCAGGTGTCATCTGATTGGCCAAATGTGGTGAATGCATTTTTCATGTGTTCAGGGCTCCCTCTGAAAGGTCAAAAGTTCACATGCTGAATGTGAATGTAAATAAAAAATATTTTAGTCCTTGATTCCAATGTCAGGCAGTCTCTTACAGTCTGTTTATCGCACATGTTCATGTCACGTTGGTGATAAATTTTATCAGTCAGCATTAATTAACAGTTCTAAAATAAGAACTGAAGATTGCCAGCATGAAGAGTTACACCATACAGACAAGACCACCAGTGGACATCCTACTCATAAGTTATAGCCATTTTTGTTAATGTGATTCTAATGGCCGCAATGTCACTTCCGTCTGGCTCACTTTGTTAAACGCAGGGGAACTTCTGACAACGAGACAAAGCTGATGAAGCCTTGAATGATTGGAAAACATCAACCTTTAAACTCTTAGAATAAAAACACAATAAACAGTTTTATTCCTGCATGTTTTGGACAGTACCAACATGTCATGAACTAGAATGGCCGCTTCGTGGTTGTCTGCCTCCACCACTCAGACTAGTTTCAGATTACATCTCTGTTTATGCAGAGTCATAGAAAACATGAACCATTTATGTGAAATGTAGTCATAACTGCTGAGTAAGTCTTGAGTAATGGCTAAAAAATGTTTTGTTAGGTTGTTAGGATAAACAGGGATGTAATCTGAAACAAGTCTGAGTGGTGGAGGCATACAACCTTGAGGCAGCAATGCTATTTTATATATTAATGCCTGGATGTCACAAAACAGCTGGTCACAGCTCAACCAGGACAATCTGAGCTTTAGTCATAGGTTCTGAAGCTTAGAGAGAGAAAAGTGCACAAAATTAAATCTTCCCCTAAATTTCCTAATTTTTAACCAGTTTTTGTTCCAGCTTTTATTTTACTCTAGTTTTATTATTATTGTTCTTCTATAGCTCTTTGAGCTGCACTAACCTGTTGAAAAAGTATAATACAAATAAAGTTTTATTGATTGACACCTTGACAACTGTAGAATGATTTTTGAAACTAATTATGTCCATAACCTCTGTGCTTTTCAGCTTTCCTTAGATCTTTATTACACAGAAGATGAGATTTATGAGCTGTCGTTGCTAAGGGAACCACGTAACCCCAAATCACTGGTAAGTTTCAGCTCTTTTATTTGTCATTTCTGGAGTGTCCAGTTTTGACAACCTTGATTCTGTACCATAAGACTTCTTCCACATACCAGTTTTTTTTTTTTTACCTGTGCTGTCATTTGGCACTGTGGAAGTGTGTGTATATTGTACAACTGTGCTTTTGGTGTAAGTCCTGTGTATGTGTGTCCTTCATAGCCTACCTCTCCAACGACGCCCACAAGTCCCTGGGCCACTGGACTGGGCCTCGGGGGTCACCACCAAACCAGACCCGTCTGTCGTCAATAAACACATCAGAAGGTGGTGGATGTGAGTATCTGAGATTACAGAAAACAACTCAGGACATGTTGCAGTGTCTATGAAATATTGTTGGAGCAAATCTGTTTCTTTTCTGGCTTTGGGAAGTCTGTGTTCAGGAATTATGACCATTACCACGATGGCTACATTTCTCAAGAGGACTTTGAGAGCATAGCTGCCAACTTTCCCTTTCTGGACTCCTTCTGTGTTCTGGACAAAGATCAGTGAGTTGGGAAGTTATTAATACATGTAATACAAATAATTACAGTAGCTGTATTTTTGTAAGCTACTAAATAGCTGCTTTCAACACCACATAACATTTCCAGTTGGAAGTAGGGATTTTCACTTACCACACATTCTTGGAGCCTGTGGCAACCACATACCGTCCAAATAGTCTCGGCACTATAAAGCCGCCTTTTTTCACACGCTTTGAACCCGTCCCATGGGTGCCTACTCAACGATGCGGCTAAAGTTATAGATTTTTACTGGCCAAAAGGCCTCCAGGGGCGCGTCTTAACGCGGAAGCGCAAAAAAGTGAGACAGAACAATGTGTGGGAAAGATTATGCGCCGAAGAAGAACGGTAGTTTTTGATTTTGATTTGAACTGGATAATGGAAAACACACGACGTGACAATATGCACTATGATGCGGCCTGTTTTAAGTTAAAGGCCCAAATCGTATGGCCGTCAAAGAGGGAATAGAAGCTATCTGACACGTTAAGGCTTGATATTGATGAATATCGATGGTGAGAACTTTGGAGCGCGCAGTTGGGAAGAACTGAGGTCAATGTAAATAAGACGGGCAGAAGCCGGCCCGTGTTGAGTGCCGTACAGGCAGGTGGAAAAAAAAGCACGTCTCTGAATTAAATCTTTAAGAAAAAATTCTTTCCGTGTAATGTATTTCTGTGTACGTTAAATATCTCATTGTTTACAACATGAAAACCTGCGGCTTATAGTCAAGTGCTTGGGTTATATATGTACAAAATTGTATTTTTTCTTGTAAAATTTTAGCTGGTGCCGGCTATATATGTGCAGCGTTGCGCTCAATAGTCCAGATTTACGGTAAAATATGTTTCGTCGTGTTTATAACCTTCATCGCCAAAAGTGATGCTAAACAGCCTCAGTTTACTAAAGCTACTGTTTTCTTAGATACTTGTAGTGTATTCTACTACTTTCAAAGTCTTGCTGTAGCTACTTACAATTAAAGAAGCTATTTGTAAGTTTAGCTATTGTGACATAGCTAACATTAACATTAGCAGCTGTTTACTTACCACTCTAGAAGAAGTTAAGCATCAAACATCATTCCTTTACTCAACATCAGCTGTCTCCAGAGGTTTCATCTAAAGTTAGCATGCTAACCAGCTAGCCCCAGCCCTGTCACACTGTTTCTTTCTGATACCTTTCTGATAATGACAATAATATGGCAGCAAACAACACCAACAGAGAGCCTGAGGATTACACTTTTAAATGTAATTGAGTAAATTGGGCACTATTGTACCTGTTTTCATACGGACACAGGATTGGATGTAACCAGGAAGAAAAAAAGAATAGCAGTAGAAGGAAACAAATTAGGTTTTATTTGAAACCATAAAATTCTAAATTAGAAGTGCATTTTTACAAAAACCAGGACAGTTCGTGTTCCGGGAAAGAATATTTTTTTTTCCGGGACAGTTGCTCCAAAAAGAGAAAATTGGAAGACGGAAAACTGGAACGTTTGGCAACCCTAGTTCAAGCTCAGTTCAACAACTAACAGTACAACTGTTAAAACCAAGGGCCTTATAAAGTCTTTGTGAAAAAAAAGTTACGTGTTGTCAAGGTTGCTAGGCAACAGGAGCCGTGCTTTGCAATAAAACAGTAAGGGCACAGCTGGTTACCCAAAGTGAAACTTGTCTGTAGGCCGGGCTGTTTCATTTTGGTCTGGCCTTCGTGGTCTACTCCAGCTACGAATAACCACACCTTTGTCTTCCAGAGGATGCGGCCCCTGAATTGGGACACAGCTACTGTAGCGTCCAGTCTGCTGCTCAGAGGATGTATTGATGCCTCTTGTATTGTAAACAATAGCTGAAACTCTGGACCACCACCACCTGCTCATGGCATGAAACCACATTTAGGCAGCAGAGAAAACGTTTAGATTAGCACTTTTTAGATTAGCGTGTAGCTAACTAACCAAACTTTCAAAGTAGCACCCCCTACACTGCAAATGAAATTGAGAATTGAATTAACTAATGTTGTTAAAATTAAAAGGTAATATATCTCATACCCTGCCTACCTCTGAGTTTAGAAACAGCTTGCACTGACAGTATCATACCTGATGTCTCCAACAAAGAGATTTATTTCTTTATTTTTTTATATACAGCTGTTAGCATTGATCTTGATGCATTAGCGTTGATGACTCTCTCCTCTCTTTTTGATGGTCCTCCTCTCCTTTATCTCCCGCCCTCTCTGTCTTCTCTTCCTCTCAGAGATGGATTGATCAGTAAGGATGAAATGATAGCATATTTCCTCCGGGCTAACCCTCTGCTCCAGCGTAAGATGGGACCAGGATTCATCCACAGTTTCCAGGAGATGACTTACCTGAAGCCCACCTTCTGTGAACACTGTGCTGGATTTGTGTGTATCTCTTTATGCCTCTTTAATGTTCCTGCATTGATAATGAACAGTGTGGTGTAACTGACTGGCCTTGAGCCAAACAGCTGCTCTGACACTGTGAACATGTCCTATATACAACATGAGCCAATCATGTTTGTTTTTAGCTGCTTTTCCTCATTATCTAATGTGTGTTGTATTTTTTGTCTGTGTGTGTGTCTTCTGTTCCCATGTCCTCACACGTCTGGACCTGCAGCTCTGGGGAATCATCAAACAGGGCTACAAGTGCAAAGGTACAGTTTCACTAGATTCTCCTCTGAAGGTCATTCAAACATTAAAACATAAACATGCAACATTTAACGCAACATTACCTGATAATTTATTTGTTTCATATGGTTTTCAACAAAGACAAAGTTAAAATCGAGTACTTACCTTCAAAGCATCTTTTCCACTCCTCACTGGAGAGTCATTAATAAAGTTATAATGCTGACACCAGGAAGTATGTTCTCAGTGTTTGTGTTATGGAGGCTTGAGGTTTTCACATCCAGAGGCTCAGCTTGTGAACAGGCAAGGCAAACAACTGCTTGGAGACCCAGGCTGTTAGGGGCCCCCAAGGGCTGACAAACTTTTCTCCACAGCAATGTCTGAAAATGTGGCTCCTCATCCCACATCTCAGTAGGAAACCTCCCTGAAGGGGCCCCGTTTAGAATGAAAACAATGGGGATTGGTGTTTGGACATCAGGTACGTCCATTGACAGCTCAATAACATCTTTGTCTGGCGGATGACTGATGGACTGAACGTGGCGCTGCTCTGTCTCACACACTGAACATTGTCGGTCCAGAGCTCCACATCAGAGCTCATTCACGGAGAAGTAGAGGAGATAAGATCTGTCCAGACAGTGTCTAGATATGTCTCCAGCTGGGTTTATGAGAAAAAGTAGCTACATTTTTAAAAGTCACCAAACAGACATGGCAGATACAAGTATCTGATTTTGAAACAGGACATAAATCACCTGACCAGGAAGTCAGGAAATTAAACCCTGTTGCCTGCACATTACTGCCATGACACTATAGGTTGTTACATGATATGACATTAGCTGCATGTGTAGAGGCTTGGAACACCTTTGGCCTGAATGTTTGCTGATGTGTCTTTATGTTCTCTGCAGACTGTGGTGTTAACTGTCACAAACAGTGTCGGGAGCTGCTGGTTCTGGCCTGCAGGAAGCTGATCCGCTCCGGCTCTGTGGGCAGTGTTTCCCCTGCAAGACTGACTCACAGCTCACTGCCCAGCAGCCCTGCACTGCCCACCTGTAAAGGTCATTTTCAGTCAGTTACTAAACGTGTTGAACAAAGCACCACAAACTACATGAATAATGTACTTATAAAGGGTTTATGCGTTACACATGTTGCCATGTAACAGCTGTTTACTTACCTTCAGAGCTTCAGTCATCGTTGTGTTTTCAAGTGGTGTTGGGCCTATGCTCTGCCTCATCAGTGGGACACCATATGTTTTACCTTCGGTTGTCTATGAATTTATTGGCTATCATAAATTGAGAAAATATTAATTTTAAAAATATTTATATTAAATAATAACTTTTAAATGAATTAAAGTCCTCGGGGCACCAGCCTAAAAAACATAGGCAAAATAGCCAATATTGGTTCAGTCTAAATGTATTGCTATTAATCTGGAACTTAATTAACTTAATAACTATAACCAAATTACCATGTCAACAGTAAATTAAAGTTGAAGGATTGGTAAAGTAGAGGTTGGCAATACTCACACATGTGCAACAGTAAACACACCAGTAGTGTGAACAGTGAGGAACTGTGGGGAAGTGAGAAACATATGGTCTGCATCACCTTGAATGGACTGAGTCCCAACAGAGGTTATAATGCGGTATTGAAAAGTGACGAGATGGGCCAATCAGACTGCGGCTAGCTGGTTAGCATGCTAACTTCAGTCGAAGAAAAGACGTGATAGAGACAAGAGTTAACATTGGTGTTTGTTTCCACCTCTGGAGACAGCTGTTGGTGAGTAGAGGAATGAAATTTGATGCTGAACTCACAACGTTTCTTCTACACTGGTAAATAAACAGTTGCAAATGCTAACGTTAGCTATGTAGCAATAGCAAAACTTACAAATAGCTCCTTTTAATGCACTGTAGTTTACCAGAACAGACCTTTGACTAATGGAAGCAGTGCTGCACTGATAAATATCCTCAAGGGAAGTCACATGAGTCAGAGTCGATTGGGGCTGAAGACTACAACTAAACATGACACACTATTCGACTAAACTGTCTGTGGTTGTTTTGCATTATGGGTAATGTAGGCATCAGGTTGTGACAAGACAACAGAATGTATGGAATAAAAAGACAACTCTGGTTCTGTGGCATGAATTTTAATGTTCTGTTTAAAACAATCATAACTTTTGAAATAAGATACATGGTAAAATATGGACAACACATACAAATAAAATAAAAGGAAATAGTTGAATTGGTGGATGTAGTATTTTCCATATAAGATAAAGAGATTTTTCTAAATCGATATCATTCTTCTCATAAAAATATAATGTCTCTTTTTTTACTAAATGAATAGTTGAACCAGTCAGCTATTCTATATCTAACCAAAACAATTAAATAGATAGGCATTCATAAAATAAATGACAAATACTCTCAGTTTTGTAATTGCAAAATACACATTTTTGTGAATATCGTCTCTGAATCTTGAAAGTACCTTGTTTACAGGATAAATCAAGTGTTTTTTAATATTTTCAAATCTAAAGTTCCAAAACAGTTTTGCAGGAGGAGTTATGAACCCCTGGCAAAGTCTCCTAATATGACTATTATTACGTTTTTTGTCTGTGAAGCATTTACCATCAGAAAGGCAGCTCTGCTGCTCATTTGGTTCTCAATATTTTTACACACAACTTAGAAAATTAGTGGCAACTCGTTTAACCCACTGTCAGTCAGGCAGAACCTAAAGAAAGTTTCTTCTTGGGGCACCTTGCTGGATCACCTGATAGAGCGCGTATCAGTCCTTACCGCAGCGGCCTGGGTTCAAATCTGACCCACGGCCCTTTGCTGCATGTCATCCCCTCTCTCTCTCACCCCAAACCTTCCTGTCTCTCTCACTGCTAAAGGCATAAAAAGCCCCAAAAGAATAACTTTAAAAAAACAAAAATGCAAAACAAAGTGTTTTCTTAATTTTTTTTTTTTAAATGACATTCATGTTTAACAGACCAATATTTTGTGCGGTCAGTGTCTGAAGGGAGACATGGCCGCTTCCCAGTTTATATTAACTTACAGATAACTATTACACCAGGATGTTAACCATACGATAACTGTGTGTAATCTTCTGTGTTCACTCCTTCAGATGAGGATGAGGTGTTTGAGTTCCCAGCCGTCACATCAGCAGGTCCAGTTGTGGACCCCCAGTCCATCACCCTGATGACTGGTTCGGCCCAGAGAATCTCAGTCCGTTTGCAGAGGGCCACCACCAGCCAGGCCACCCAGACCGAGCCCCTGTGGCCTGAGCACAGCTGGGGGGCCACAGACGGCGGCTCCCACACCTTCCCCAAAATGAAATACAGGACTCACAGGAAGATGTCTAAAAATAAAGGTTTTGCCTTCTGGGAAAACCAGAATGAGCAGCACCAGGTGGTTTCCTCTCGGTGCAGCCTGGAGTCTCAGAAGACACTGGATGTCCAGAACGGGATCACACTCAGAGGAGGGGAGGTAAGGGAGAAGCTGGCTGTAGATCTTTATTTAGATATGATGTTTAACATTAATAAAACATCACTTTGTTCATCTAGAGACAACATTAATCTGACAGAGAGGAGTAATCACTTACTTCAAACATGAGAATGAAGATCCAGGAAGCATACCAGACCACAGGTTTGAAGGTTTATAAGAAACAGTGTACAGTAGTATAGTACAAGGTATAACAACTCAAGTTATCATAGTGGTAGTTATTTAATCTGTCATTTTTGAAGGGGTCAGTCCGAACATGCCCTTAGTTTTGATAAACAAAGCTTTTAAATAGTGAGCAGTTACCACAAAATCTGCTGCCCTACCACATCTAAAGCCAAAAGTTTCCACCGCAGGAACTTTCCCCAGGATCCAGGAACCTTTTGAGGAACTATGGGTCTAAATTTAGTTTCTCCTCTTCCCTGCAGCTCCCGAGCAGCCAGGAAACCAGAGCAGCTCAATAGATCGACCCCAAAAAAGTCCCTGGTCGGGGGATAGTACTTTCCAAACGTTCAGGAACTTTGGGGGTGTGGTCTAGTGCTGAAGATTTCTTACTGGTCGAGTACTCACTGCATTTTATTTCACCCGCCATGTTTAAAAGCCTGCAGCAACGAGTGAGCAAGCATTGAACAAGCACACATTTTCCACAAACAGGTCCGGGAGAAGGTGAAAAAACTGACACAGGACTTCAATAAAATAAAGGACCACCCCAAACTAAAAGTTCCAGGTAGTTTTTGGTCAAAACACGGCTTAAACTTTTAAAGCTGCAGTTCCTCTGATCACCACCAGAAATTTAATTTCTTCAAATGTGGAGATTTATGAGAATCCCTCATCACATGATAGGATATTTAGGTTTAAAGAGAAGTATAGCAGGGTCCAATCAGTTCTGACCCCACATGAACAAAATCCTTCTGCCAGTAAGGTGCCCTGAATGTGTGGGAAGTGGGAATGGAACAGCGCTCTCCTGTGTCATATTCATCCATCCACCACAACCTCCTCCTGACGTGGACTTTGTCTCTCTTTATACTACGTCACCGCACTTTTCCCTTTGCTCCTGTCATCATTACTACGACCACTAGATGTTGCCTAGCAACAAAACTTAACTATGGGTCATAATGACACAGACAGACAGTCTCAAGTGTTGACTTTAGTCATATAGTATGTAGTAGGTTAGTTACTGATGCATTTCTTGTCAACAGTTCCATTTAAATGTTTTTTTGGCCCGACTGCAACAGTGGAACCAGCCCTATAATCTGGATTGTCTCTAAATGACTGATGGACTGGCTCATGATGTTTCCACCACTGGTCAGCAGAATGCCGAGCCACAGTCTATGGAGCTGCTCTGGTGTCCTGGCTGCTCGGGAGCTACAGGAAGAGGAAGAACGCTTCCAATACACTGAGCCTCGCCTCCATGACAGCAAATACACTACTTTCATTTCATGTATCATTATAACTAAAGGAGGCAGAGGAATAACTAAACATAAAACAGAGAGAGTAGGAGAGAGGGAGGGAGAGAGAGAAGAAATTGTTGGACTGAAGCTGAAATGAACTGCCTACTGTTTATTTGATTTATTTATTGTGTTATCAGGGACAGTGCACATTAGTAGACACTGCTGTGTCAGAGTTAACCAACCGTTAATTTACCATATGGAGCCTCTGGACAGATGCTCCTGTACAGAGATGGGAGATAAACATGCAGAGCAGTAATAAAGAAAATGTCAGTAAAGATCATATGCAGGCTACTATATAAGACATCATTGTTCAGTATGATGTCAGACATTAACCTAAACACAATGAAACCAGCACTACAATCAGGACATGTAAGATCCATGGTTCCATTACATTTCTTCTCTCCCCTCCAGGACAGCTGACTTGGTGAGGACCAGCCCCGTGGGTCCAGAAAACCCCTGGCAGCAGGAATCAGGAAGCTCTTCTCTCTGGGGGAGATGCTGGGCTGCCTGAAGCCCCCCCTGAAGTTATCATGTCCTCTCTAGACGTCAGCACAGACAACTACACGATCAGGAAGAGGAGCTCAGTGGACACTGGACTGACACCTACTGTGAATCAATGACATGTCCATCCTGAGGATCACTGAGGATGTAATTCAGTGTGGGTTTAGGTCCAGGGTGTACATTAAATCAGCACTTGAAAAAGTGTGACATATTGTGAACTTCACAGAGTGTGGAACGGGTTCAGTCCAGTGGATCATTGCTGGCCAGTTACTTTACAACAGCTCAGGTGCAGACTGAGAAAGACAAATCCAGGAGCAAAAACTGTCTATGTCTGATCTGAGGACAACTACACGTTCTAATGATTAGAAGGAGCCTGTTGCATATAGGGAGTGTGGAGATGTTTGTATGTGGAGCTGCAAATAAAGGGAAAGTCAAGCTGAAAGTGAATGTTAAGGGCATCCAACCAACAGTCAGACAAGGACACTGGTGATGAACAATTCTGCAGAGAGAGTTATATCACTTCTAGTCTTTAATTACTGAACATTTTTTACTGTCACATGAATTTTCTATGCCACATTAAAATCAAATACAGGTGTCTAATGTTGGGGACACACTGCCTGTGTTGCGTGAGCGTGGCAGCTGCTTTGCTGAACTGCTGCAGCTTGAACATGTGTGTGCTCACACCGTGTATGTGTCTGCTGCATCACCACATAGCTTTCAGGTTACTTGAATGTTGGATTTCTTTTCATTATAAGTTCATTTCTGATTTATTTTTTGACGGAAAACATCGGTAAAATGTCTCTGTCTCCACATGCAGCTGCTACAATGGTTAAAAAATATATATTTTTCATGTCTGTTTTATATTCATTCAGCTTAGACATAGAAACTATAGTGGAATGTGTCAGTTTTATGTGATGTTGCTGGTTTGATATAAAAATGACATCAACACCCTAATTCAGGGGCCACATCCTTCGTAGCCGCTGTAGACCACAAAGGCCGAACTGAAATGAGACGTTCAGGTCTACAAAGGATTTTCACTTTGCATCATCAGGCATGAGTGGGTCCTGTTGCTTAGCAACCTTGACGACACGTAACTTTTTTTCACAAAGACTTGGTTTTAACAGTTGTACCGTTAGCTGTTGAACTGAGCAGAAACCCAATACTAACATTTAACAGTGCAGTCCTCAGGCTCTCTGTCAGTGTTGTTTGCTTTCTTTACCCACGTGCAAGGAATCTTGGGATATGTTGGGCCAAGAAGTATGCACCTGTTGGAGCCTTCATTGTCCAGGAAAAGGACACCTTTGACCCTTTGAAATGGGACAGTTTAGTAGCACCACTTTGACACAATTGGTCTTCAAATGCAGCCTCTGAAGGATGTGGCCCTTGAATTGGGACACAGCTAGAGAAACCAAATTCTGCAAGGCTGGATGGTGGGTCCAAGTAGGTGGAGCTTGGTGAGCAACTGAGTGACTGCTTTGTATATATTTTTTCCTTTATAATATAGGCCTATGGACCTATAACAACAAATCACAGGTGTGCTCACTTTTGTTGCATTGAGGTACATTGGTGTCTGTGCTTTCATTGTAGTCAATCTAACCTGATGGTTTTAAATTAAACCACCCTACACTTCAACTTAAGAGTTATTGTAAGACGCTAACCCACCATCATCATTTTAGTGATGTGCATGTGCTCAGTGTTGGTGTATACTGCCTGTAGAGAGACCACGGACATCTGATGATGTCACGGTCTTGTAAGATAAATCCCACTGTAGGAAATGTCTGGTCTCGTTCACACAGATGTAGAAGTCTAGTAAATTACACTGTCTTAAATACTGCAGATTGCATTTATATGCTGTACATTTTATTTTTACAATGTTTTTTTAATAATTCTATTTTGAAAATAAATGCAAATAAACTTTACAGTATAGATAAATACAAAGTAGACACACTTGAGATATGAGATTTGAATTTATATTATATTTGTATACAATATTAATATATTTGTCATTTATATAAACTATTTGGACAGTTACATATGTTTTGTTCTTTGGGATCTGAGCTTCAATTTTAAATAAAATAATAGATACTACATTAAAGAGCCATGTCTGAGCTTTAATATGAGCAGGTTTACATCTGATATAACCCTTTAATACACTAAACACTAAACTTTTGAGTTAAGGGGCTCAAAAGTACAAAGGAAGTCAAACAGAATCATCATATTTGATATTTAATGGAAAAAACTTTTTAATAAATATTTTTTTAATTGGCTTGGTTGTGTGTGTTTTCCCTCTTTGTGATGCAGCCTGATTAGTAAAGCAAATAAAACAAGTGAATCTAATTAGTGTCTCCAGCAAAACAGCAGTCAATAAAAATCAAGTCAAATGGGGAAAAAAACTGATCAAAGTAGAAGATTCATTTTTGTGAAGTTTGTTGATGTTAAAGATGTTGATCTTAAAGCTGAAAGTCTGGATAACTGGATTGACTGTAGCTTGAAGATTGAATAACAGTGCTATTATTTTAAGCAAATGAGTTGAGAGACTCATCATCTGTGCCCTGTGAGAGATTTTTCTCAAAAGCAAGGGGTGGGGAGTTGTGCTTTTTCCCTCTCTGTCTCACAGTGAATTGATATGGGAGCAAGGGGAGCATCTTACTTTGACTGAGCCGTTTAAGCAGGTGCGTCCAGTAGAGGAGATAGAAAGTGTGGCACATGGTTATTTCCTTGAGGATGGACCATTGGTGAGAGAATGGTTGCATAAAGGTGACAAGCCTACAGACTACATAAAAACCTGTCACAGTTGTCAGCTTACAGGAAACCCCAATCAGTCCATCAAACCTGCTCCTTTGCATCCCACTTCAGCAGATGGTCAACCTTTTGAGCATTTGCTAATTGACTGTGTTGGCCCACTGCCCAAGTCCAAATCTGGTAGTATGTATCTTTTCACTGTGATGTGTCAAACTACCAGATATCCTGCTGCTTACCCCTTGCGTCTGACCACCAAATCTATCTTGAACGCCTTAACCCGGTTAATTTCTGTCTTCGGCATTCCCGAGGTCATCCAAAGGGATCAGGGAATCAATTTTACCTCAGGCATGTTGCAGACATTTTGAAAGCCCTTCTTATCAAACATGCCCAGTTTTATGTAATATTCAATTATCATTTGACTTCAATCCAGCTGTTAATTAGTTGATTAGTATTTAGTTTGTATCATCAATTTCTGATTATGTATTGTTAGCACTGCAGAAACCATGGTTTTGGATGGACAATTAAATCTCAAAATATGCAATCTTTGTCAGTGTCTCTTTAATTTGAGAACCTAAGGCGGTCAGCTTAGTCTCCTGAACCTAACAAAAGATAACTCTTCAATAGGTCCATACTCAGATTTGAGCTATTTGGTTTCTACTCCTGACAGGCAGAGGTCCACCCAGGTATGCCATGTAAATCTGCTAAAACCCTATTTTTCTTGTTGCAGGGGGTTGGAATCTGCAGGGACAATAAAGCCAGTGGCCCTGATGGTTTCGGTGGGTACAGAGTCATCACCATCTTTGGGGGAGGAAGGTGGTGAAGAGTGCACTGCCCCAGATGACTATTATGCTCAGGAATTTGGACAAGGTGTTGTGTCATTTGCCTGACGTTAGGAAGACGAACCTCACTATATCTTTTCCATCTTTGCTTTCAGATACTCCTTCTCAAACCTCATCTCATACAGCATGACATTAATGTAGGGGGATCCTGCACCAATTCAAAAGAGATTCTACGGTGTTTCTCAAGAAACACAACACTGCAGAACCTTCGTGCTCTAGCTAGGTGTCCCCTTATGTTTTGATGAAGCCAGACCAAACTTTTAGCTCATACACAGATAATCCCAAAGTAAATAAAATGATCCACTTCCCCGCAAGGAGGATTGTCTTGATCAGGTGGGCACTGTGAAATTTGTAAGCAAGTTTGACCTTTTGAAGGGTTACTGTCAAAACAAGCTCAAGACATTGCAGCATTCTTAACCCCCACAGGCCTTTATTCCTATGAGGTAATGTCATTTGGGTTGTGAAATGCATCAGCTATTTTTCAACGGGTGATGAGTAAAGTATTGGTGGGATTTGAGGGGATGTGCAGTGTATATAGATGATGTTGTCATCTATAGCGAGAGTTGGGAAGAGCAAAAAAGAAAGAAAAAAACAAATAAGTTCATACTTTGTGGTCGGAGATTGGAAGAGGGTTTTGCACCTTTCTACCCTGTTGATTTTCAAGGTCAAGTTTGACTCACTGGTTCCCTCACTGTCACCTCTCATTACCCATAGAAATTCCAAAGTCACAATTCAAAGAGTGGAACAAAAAAATCTCTCGCTTCATCTGGGGGGGCAAGAGGCCGAGGATAAAGTTTTACAACCCTCCAGATCCCCAAAGATAAAAGTGGGCTAGCTTTACCAAACCTGTTAAAATATTATATGCAGCACAAATTCAGCCCCTGGTGTACTGGTGTGATCCTATGTATATTGCAAGGTGGAAAGATATTGAATTAAAAACAGAGAGGTGTCATGTACAAAGTATGATAGCAAACAGGGACATGTTCAAGAAGTGTGAGGAAATGCTTGAACCAATCACTAGACTCACTCTGGAAATCTGGTTCACAGTGATTAGGAAATACAATCTGGAGAAGGAAAACAAAATTTTAACTTGGGTGGCCTATGACTCTAAATTTAAACCAGGGGTGACAGATAGCAATTTTAAACAATGGATAAATAAGGGAATTACAGCACTGTGCACATTAATTGATGGAGGCAAAATTAAGAACTTTCTAAATTTGAAGAGAGAATGCGACTTGGAGGTTAATGATCATTTTAGGTACCTCCAGGTAGTGTTGTTTTTGGCGGCCTGTTTTAATTTTAGTTTTAGTCTAGTCTTTGTGTCAAGCTGTCATTTTAGTTTTTATTAGTTTTAGTCACGTTCATACTCTTTTTAGTCTAGTCAAGTTTTAGTCGACTAAAAGTCTGAGCATTTTAGTCTTATTTTAGTCAGAATCATCCATGACTATTTTAGTCTAGTTTTAGTCGACGAAAACTGATGACATTTTAGTCTAGTTTTAGTCAATGAAAATGTTATTTTAGTCTCTTTCTAGTAATGCAATTCTATTTAACCCAGTATAGTATAAGTACCTAGTAGTATAGACAAAACCAAAATTTTCTTTTAGCCAAACCCATTTCACAGTTCAAACAAGGTTATCTTATTATTATATTATTGTTACCTTATAGACTCAAGAATACATCCATTCCAGACACACAAGACGCTCTGATTTGAATTTACAACATATTTATTTTACCAACCAAACGTGTTTTCCTGTGATTTTGTGGTCGCATTTCTCCCCATCTTTTTCCACAACACATTCTGGGTTTTTTTCCACCTCTATGTAATGAAAGTGTGTCCAAATGTCATTTCGTCTTTTTCTTCCAAAGAAGAACCCCGACTGGCTGCCGGCCATCGGTCCTTTTCTCTGTCGCGTTATGATTCTGAAATTGTCGTTCAACCGCAGCTGCAACTTCTAAATGCCGCCCGCGAGTGGGGATTGAGGAAGTGACGTCGCATGCGTCGGCGCAGTGCGACCTGATGATGTGAGACACAGGAAACAGAAATACTGCAAAATAATAATAACTCGACTAAACGAGTCGAAATGACGTTATAACATTTCGTCTCGTCTCGTTTTAGTCAACGAAAATGAAGAGACATTTTAGCAGAGTTTTTATTTTGTAAACCAAATTTAGTCTCGTTTTTATTCGTCAACAATATTGCATTATATATTTAATTATAGTTATCGTCACATGACCAGCATTTACGTTGCGTCTCGTCTCGTTTTCGTCACGTGATAAAGGTTCGTTGACGAAGATATTTAGTCATAATTTTCGTTGACGAAAGCAACACTACCTCCAGGTCAGGGACTTCTTTGAGAAGGAAATAAAACCAGATCTTCCCCAGGAGTTGAATAAAGTGATTGTGACAATGTGTAATGCATATAAAAACAATACAGGTAGAGTGATATCAGCATTGTACCAGGGACTAGAAAAGAACAGGGGGACCACTACACTGTACATTAGAGACAGATGGATAAAAGAAAGTAAAATACAACTAACTGAAGAGGAATGGTTTAACATCTGTGATACTCAGCGAACCACTACCAGCTCCAGGATGTGGAAAGAATTTTGCTGGAAAAATAAACGGTAACCAGGTTTTTCATCACTCCTAAGACAAAAGGCAAGTTTACATCTGTACAGCAAACATGCTGGAGAAGGTGTGGGGAGCTAAATGTAGGACACACTCACATTTTCTGGGAATGTATTAGACTGAGAAAGTACTGGAATGATGTATGGATGGAATTGAAAACTATACTGGGGTATGAACTACAAATCTCATATAAAGTTTTGTACCTGTGTAATTTGACAAGTGAAAATGTTCAATGTGAAGATAGATATCTGGTTAAGATTCTGTTAGCTGCGACCAAAAAGGTAGTCACGAGAAGTGGTGCAGAGAGGTACCTCCCACTTTGAGGAACTGGTTGGACATTGTGGAGGAGATATTTGATATGGAAAGACTCACACATATACTGAGACTCCCAACAAGTTAAATTCAACACGAAGTGGGACAAATGGACAACATATAAGTCTCACAACAGAGACACCACTAGAGACTCTGAATGAAAACAGAGGAGCATAGATAGTGCATCAAGAAGCCGTATTACCCACGGACACTGTCAATGTCTGTTTGTGTTCTGTGTTTAAAATTAATAAAATTTGAGTATTAAAAAACAAAAAACAAAAAAAAAACACATTCAACAAACCAGAGACTTCAGGACCAGGGAACAGGAAATGACATTTTTTGGGTTTCAGGAATCATTCCTGCAGAACTCCGTCAGGTCTTTTGACCAAGGAAGTTCACTTGAAGTTGACACCACCTCATCTGGGAGGACTCTGTACTTGAAGTTGTGTCTAACATCAGGAACACACAGCCTGCATTGCGTGTGTGTGGTGGCTGCCATCACCAAGCTGCTGCGGAGAATCATGCATGTGTGTTCACACCAGCTGCATTGCTGCTACTCCATCTCTCGACATGGAGCTCACAGGCTACTTAATGTTGGATTTCTTTTCATTATAAATTCATTTGATTTATTTTTTTTGACAAAACTTCAAAAAGGTCAAACTGTTTTTGCTGTGAGATGCGTCATGTGAAAAATAGACGAGGCGCCAAATATGTCAATCATGCGACGCAGCCATGAGGTGTGTCACACCGGCAGTGTGTCCTCTCTAACCTGTTAACATGGCTGCCTAAAAGAAAACCAAGAAGTTCTGCAGCTGCAACGCATCCAGTGTTGTCCTGGCCTAAGTCGGAGAAGTCAAATTAACCAGAATAAATGGAAACTTCTGAGTGGGTTGTTTCAACAGCTTTCTCTGCACAGAATTCTTGTTATTTCATGTTGGGATTACTGTAGACCTCCTCTCTCTCCTGTGCTACTGTTGCCACCGCTGCTTTAATTCTGGTTCTCTGATGTACTTCTGAAAGATTTCTGTTGAAATAAAAGACCATTCAAATTCCACCATTGTATTAAAATAGTTTTATAAAAGTTTAAAATCAACAGCATCATAGAGAACCTGAAGAGTTAACTGAATGAAGTGTTTGACATTGTAAAGTAATGAAGATGTCAACTGAAAAAATGCCTACCAATCATTTTTAAAAAGCATTTATTGATAACTCATTGACCACACCCTGGCCTTGGCTGGCTACCTGGATTTCAACTTCATCATCTCTTATTTCAAACAGAAGTACAGAACAACAACAATAACTGGAGCAGTACTGTAAACTACACAGAACAAAAGTACTGCACTTAACCAAAATTACAAACGTTACCAGTGCAACTGTAAGCATGTGTGTCTGTGTTCAGTGTGTCCCAGTAAACTGAAAGGCAGGCTAAAGTATCAAATCCAAAAAATCAACATGGAGACTGAAGACGTGTCTCCAGAAATAAACACAAAGTATTTTTAGTCTTTGGCCTAAAGTCAAACAGGGATGTAAGAGACAGACAGACAGCTTCAGCATTCAAAACAGGAACTCCTGTACAAAAATAAAAACATCCTCTGGCTTTGAGTAGTGGCTGTTAACTCATTGGAACAAAGAAATACAACATCTGAGGTCTACTGATGTCTGAGACCAGCTTCCCTGGGATGCATTCATTTATCAGTTCATGCTTACATCACTCTTTCATTCACACAGCCACGCGTGCATCCACCTTTACATATCGTTTGTTCTTTGTTACGTTTACAGCATGTCGTCCTCTCCTCCTCCGTACATGTCGGCCAGTTTCTTGAAGCGGGGCCCCCACTCGTTGAGGCAGTCATAGTCCTGGTCACCGCTGCTCGACGAGTTCAGAGAGGAGAGGCTTCCCGCGTCTGAGCCGCCGCCCTCATAGTCAAACACCAGCAGGGAGTCGTAGGGGGGCGCCGTTGGGTCGTTGTCAGCTGCCTTCAGGTTCTGAGGGAAGAGCAGGAGATCATTCATTAAGTGAAATAGTCTACATCACTGAGAAATATTTGTAAATGGAGAAAGCGGTTGAAAAGGACCTAATTTAAATATTAGCTTTTGTATCTTTGACTCACGTCATCAATGAAGTTGCCAATGTCCTCTGGGTTGGCGGGGCGAGGCCGGTACTGAGGAGCCGGCATGAAGTTTGGCACCACATCGTTCCTGAAAACCTCGGGCCGGTTGTCCAAACCACGGTGGAGAACGCTCAGGTCATAGTCCTGACAGGAAACACATGGTCACACATGAGATACTGCATCCTCCATTTTAACAACGGCACTGGTTTATGCAATAATCCACGTTTCTTTACATGATCTAATGTCAAAACTAATCCACACTCCTCAAATTAATATGACAGATCTAAGAAGGTTATTATTTTGATAGATCTGTATCTTCACAAAGAACATGTAGAAACAAGCTTAATTTCTAATTAGAACTGACTTGGAATCATGAATTTAAACTTGATTTAGTGTCGTCCAACTTTAAAGCCATCAAACACACTGTAGCAGAACCACAGGTATCATTCTTTTTATTCTACACGTTCATCTTTCCTGTCAAAACCTGCTGCCTATATTACCCATAATGCAACTCAGCCACTGACAACTCTGGTCAGAGATTCTGGTGTGTTCTGCTAGTAGCGACTAATGTATGTAGCCTGCAGCAAAGATGAGGAGGGAGGGGGCTACGGAGGTCTGATCAGGTCACTTCACTCTGACTCCACCCATGGACAGACACTGACTCAAGTGACATCACTTGAGGATGTTTATCAGACATCACACAGCTCCCTCTGGAGACACTAAAGACTTTAATCTGTATGTACATATGCAGTGGCAGGTTTTAGTACCTGTAAGGCTTGATGTGAGTTAAAGAACGACTTCAGGGACACATGAGAAAAGGGATGTTTGAAAGCTGTGTTTGCAGTTACCTGATCATCCTCTCCGCCGCCCTCCTCGTCATAGTAGTAGATGTTGTCTCTGATGTCGTTGTCCTGCAGCAGAGGCTCCTTCTTCTCTACTCTTCTCCTCCTGATGAGCAGCAGCAGCAGCAACACCAGCACTGAAAGAGAGCAGAGCTTCAGTCAGCACTGAGCCGAGAGCTGAGCCATGGTCACTGCTGGACCAGTGTCACTGTTACACTGGGTCACATGTTCCTTCATCTACATGAACACACACACTGTAGATTCATGTGATTCAGTCCCACACACACACACACACTGTCCTGCTACAGCACCAGCTGTGGATTTATCCACCACTGAAAACAGTCCTCAACAAATGTACCACTTCAGAAGTCTTAACCTTAAAACTGCCGTCAATTCGTGGAGCAGTCAGTTTGTTATATGACAGCCATATGCAAAGCAAACATTACACAATCCTGACACTGACATTCAGCAGGTTCCAGGTCACTGAGCACCTCTGGCTGCAGACAGCTGCTCTGAACAGTGTCCTACAGACTGAACAGCAGCAGGTCAGTGTTTTCAGTGAATTGAAGTGAAATATCTAAACCAAAGCTTCATGACTTCTCTTATCATTTTCATCTGCAGTCCCTGTGATGATGATGATATTCCATATCTAACTCAAATCAAACATCAGACTCACTGAGCAGCAGCAGGATGCCTCCCAGTATTCCCAGGATTATGGGCAGGCCAGGACCACCAGCAATTCGCACTTGGCAGACAAAGTCTTTTCCAGTGCAGTCACACACTTTGACCTGGATAGTGTTGTCCTGCTCCAGGCCCTGGTTGTCTGCAACCCTCAGGATCGCAGTGTATTCCCCACTTTCCAGCTTAGTGTTTAAATTCAGGAGGATGCCCGTTTCTGCAACAAAGAGGAAAATGGTTTAAAATTGATTGTAACACCTGCATTCACAGAAGTCTTCATAGTGGAAATCTCCTCAGGCGTTGGTTACTGTCATGCTGTGTATTGCCTCACTAATCATCCAAATCTTATACCTGACTAAACATATTGTTTTGAAGCTTATTACAGCCTAGGAGGAAGCACCACCACCATCCATGTGTTCAATTCAAATATGAACTTCAATCACCTCCTGGTGGTCGTCTGCCTCCTCCACTCAGACTAGTTTCAGGTTACATCCCTGTTTATCCAGAGTCAGAGAAAATATGATCCATTTGTGTGAAATTTTGTCATAATGCAATGTGTCTTGAGTTATGGATAAAAAATGTTTTGTGAGGTCATTGACCTTGACCTCTGACCACCAAAATGGGATCAGTTCATCAATCAGTTGAAAAGGCTGCAGTTGAAAAGTCTTATGAAGGTTCCTAGTTCTGTCAAGGCATTGCTGAGCTATCATGTCCACAAGAATGGAACATATGTACGTCTGGATGGACAAATAACCTGATAACAATATGCCTCTGCCTGGGCGTAAAAATATTTAACTTTTTAGTTGTCTGAAACAGAACACCAGCAGTGAAGAAGACTATGAGCACCACAACATTTGTATTCTCTTTCTTGATCCAGTTACATTGACTTCTAAAAACCTTAAAATAATGACTGGTGTTTCTCCTGGGCCTGCATATCTGACTGGATGACGTCAGTTAGAGTTTGTATTCTCAGTCACGTATTCATCGTGTACGTACTGGTGTCATTCATCTTGGCAGTCCAGTTGGTCTTTGTCATGCCTTGTAAGAAGACTGCGTATGGAGCAGCGAAGCCTGGTCCATCTTTATCTGTCACTGTCAGCAGCTGAGTAGCCGGCTCTTTGTTACACACCTGAGGACACACAATGTCAGATTCAACCTTCTGATCACGCACACCAGTGGAATCTGGTTACTTTTACATCTGAGGTCAGAAGTTTATTACTGATTTGACTTTTCTGGCACATTTCAAATCACACAGATCACAGAACCAAAGTCCTGCACCACAGATCTGTCAAACCTGAGCTCAACACACGATAACTGTGAGAGGAGACACACCTTGATCAAACGCTCCTCAATGGTGGGTGCGTTGTCATTGACGTCTTCAAGCTGAATGATCAGAGTTCCAGTTCCTGTGGCTGGGACGTCATCTGGTGAGTTGACAGACACACAGGAGGAGAGCAAAACACTGAATTCTGAATCCATATTTACATTAATGTTTGGCTACTGAAAATGTACTCCTAACTGGGCTAATGGCAAAGAGTCTTTTTAGTGATGAGGACACACAAGTTCATTTGAATGTTTAAAAAGTTAAACATGAACACAGCAGTGTCCATGAAAAAAAGAGGACACAAGTAAAACCTTAATCTCATGTTAGTGTGTTTCACCCACCACTGTCGTAGGCTCCAATGAGAGCTGTGTATCTGTTGTCCTTGACGAAGTGGGACTCTCTGTCCATGAGGCTCTTCACTTTGATCAGACCCGTGTCCTTGGCAACATTCAGCCAGCCAGCAGGGTCACTGATTATTTTATACCTGGACAGTCACAGAAGGAAATCGTGTAAATGCTGGGCAACAAGCTTATTACAAAATACATGCTTCTTCATGTCCATCATCAAATACTGTGTATTCAGTTTATGTTTATTATATAATGAACATGTTCTTTGTATTTTGGACATGGAGGCAATTTAAGATGAAAACATATCATTTTACTTTTGTTTGGCTGAACGCTCAGTTATTTATCAGGAAGTCATAGTTCAGGAAATCCTGAAAAACAGGTAACATGAGGAACTTAACTATGATCTTTGTTTTATCATCACCTGAGGTAAATCCCCCATTAACAAGGTGCTGGATACCAGCAGCTACTGACTGGAAAGGTCTGAACAGGAACTATAGGACCATCATCATCAGGCGTAGCATGCAGACATTTGACCTAAGGTAACCTGTATTTCTGCTGTTTACCTTGTGACTGTTACTACAAAACAAGTTACAACAGTTATGATTATAAACCAGTGTATTGTGTTTTAGCCTCTTAAAAAGGTTTTAAAACTTGTTTTAAAAGTACATGAACATGAACAAAAACAAAACCCCTGCACTGTTTAAAGGGCATTTTTCAGTGTGGTATTGAAAGGGTATTCTTCTCAGGAGTTTGACCTTACATGACTTTCTGTTTGCGTGCAGTATCAGGATCTGAAGCGGTGTACTGCACCACATCACTGTCAATGGGGAGGTCCTCCCGTTTGGACACAATCTTCTGTTTTGGATCAAAGACTGGAGCTTCATTGACATCCTGCACATTCACCACCACCGTGGCGGTGGAGGTGGGCAGTGGAGTAGCAAAAGGAACCTCATTCTCCACTACAACCAACAGAGTGTGCATGCTGGTCTTCTCAAAGTCAAGACCCTGGTTGGATGGAAGAAGGACGACATTCATTAATTTATCAAATTATTCTGCTGCACAACTAAAACCCTAATTCATTCTGAACTTTTAAGCTGAAGTCACTTAAACACTAATTAGGTCACAGAAATGTCATCTATGAAATAAAACCTCACTGAGCACTTTATTAGGAACACCTGTACACCTCTTTTTTCATGCAATTATATAATCAGCCAATCATGTGTCAGCAGTTCATTGTCTAAAATCCTGCAGGTCCAGAATGAGGAAAAATGTGATCTCAGTTACTTGGAGCATAACATGATTGGTGTCAGACAGCTGGTTTGAGTGCGAACAAAAGCATTCATTGAGCAACAGCTCTGCAGAGGAAACACCTTGTTGATAAGAAGTCAGAGGAGAACGGACAGACTGCGAGTGAGCTGTTCCACCGTGGCCATCTTGGCAGTGTCTGACTACGCCCCTAACTCCCGCCTAATCCAAAAATGGTTCAAGAGGCAGGGCATGTGGACGCAAATCATCAGTGCATATGTTCACCCACCTGTCACTCAAAGAGGCCACACCCCTAATTATTCATAACTTCAAACCTTAATATAATGTAAACAGGTGAGGTATATAAACAGGTGTCATGAAGGAGGAAATTAGCTCTAAAGACCAAAACTGTTTTTGTACCAGGGTGTAAACATGTTTATTTCTGCTGTAAAGTTGGACATTTTAACATGGGAGTCTATGGGAATGACTCACTGTTGGAACCAGACTCTAGTGGCCATTATAGGAACTGCAGCTTTTAGCACTTCACTGTTGGCTTCATTTTCAGCCCTGGAGGTTGGCAGCATGAATGTGCAGCTGACAAATCTGCAGACATGATGTGACGCATCACTTCAACATGAAGCAGAATCTCAGGAAAAGTTTCAATATCTGGTGGATCCATGATATGAAGAACAGGCTGCTTTGCTGAGAGGAGGAACTACCCAGGATTAGTGTGGCGTTACTAATAAAGTGCTCAGTGGGTGTATCACTCAACTTTAATATTGTGGCTTGTTTGAGAGTTTGTGCTTTGCTTCCTACCTTGACAGTTGTGATGATTCCTTCCTGTTTGTTACTTCCTGTCGTCACGTTGAAGAGTCCCCCAGGATCACCATCAATAATCTTGAACTTTGCGTTCCAGGCTGGGGAGAGTGGCTCATCACCATCTGTTACTGACATCGTAATGACCACAGCGTCCACTTTATTTTCAGCTACTGTTTCCGCATACTGTGAGAATGCAAGGGAAGGATATGTTAAAAAGTGTGAGAGTAAAGCAAAGTAAATAAGGACTTGAAAGGCCTGTTGGCGCAGTGTGCTCACTAACAAGTAAAAGAATAAGTCTATTTGGCCTTAATTGGCCCCTCTAACATCAAATGGATCTTTTTAATATAAAATTTGTTGTCAAGTGAGTGTATTGTTAAAGACTCAAAGATTAGTCAATCATGCCATAAACTTTCAGGACCAAAACCAAGATAGAATCACACTTTCACTACAAAGTAAAATGGATGAGTAAAAAGTAAAAAGGATGAGTCCGTATTTCTTAAAAAGTATTACATTACCAACAATGATTATAATTCTACAGACAACCTTTTGTTTGACAGTTTGCTAAGCCCAACCTCTCCAAGTCACTGTTGCTGTGCCTGTTGCTGTGCCTGTAGGGATCGACCAATATGGTTTTTTTCAAGGCTGATGCCAATTATCGGTTATCAAGGAGACCAGTAACTGGTATTTGGAACCGATACGCCAACACAAAACTACTGCTGAATAAGGACACTCACCGTGGCTTCTAGGTGTTCCTATTATGTTTTACACCCCATTTATATCAGTGAAAGTAGGCTGAATAACAGAAACATCTCTGTATAATGTAATACACCTACACACACTACATCCTCCACAATGATAATCATCAACTGTCTAAAACATTTATTTTTTATACTGAGCATTATAACCCCCATGAAGGAGGATTTACTGCATGACTGTTATATTAGACTACATTAGCTTTAGCTAGATGTTCCTAATAAACTGACAACTGAGTGTACATTAGTAATTATCAGTTGTATGGACAGACTGCAAAGAGCCTGACTGAAATTAATTGGTTGATTTCAGTGATGTCCTCACCTGTGAACTGATTCACCTGGCAGCCTAAAGATGCTCTTTGATTTAATAGTTCTACCATAATAATATTATCACCAAATAAGATGATTTACCCCTTCCCTTTTAAAATGTAACAAGGGAACACGTTTACTCAGAGATATTTTATTTTATCGGTTAAAAAAAAAAAACATAATGATGATCTGAAAATGCTGAATATTACCACTGATCCCTACTGTCAAGTGTATTACTCATGTGCTACATGTATGTATAATGGCGGCAGATTTTAAATTGGAATTAATGGTCATTTTTCAAAACACTGCATACTTGATTTCAGACAGAAGAAAATTTTCAGAAGGTCAACATTGATTTTAATGGCTAAGATGACAACTGCTGCTCACAGATTTGAACCAGCATGGGGCCCTTTCCTAAAATAACCCGTTGCCTCCCAAGTAACAGTTGGTTAGCTAAAACTAACGCCATGTGGCCCCTTGGCACTGAAGGTGAAATTAGGTTACAGCTGAGTGTAACATTAGTAATAAATGAGTATAAACGCATTGTTTAATCAATTCCTTGCAATTTGGGTGTTGTGTTTTTAGAAAGGTGGGAAAAATATAACTGATATTGGAAAATATTCAAACATCGAGTATATCTCTTAATACAGCCCAAAGCACACAGCTTCAGCATGGTGAGAACTAGCCATGGCGGTAAGCTACGACTGAACAATTGATCTTCGGGGAAGAGGTTTAACAAACAGTAAAATTTCCAGTCACAAGTGTGTTGTACTTACAGAGAGCTGAGTGAATTCTGGAGCGTTGTCGTTGCTATCCGTTACGGTGAGGATTACTTTGGAAGTTCCAGTCAACCCCTCTCCAATCATGTCTGCTGCCTGTACCACCAGAGTGTACTTGGGGTATTTCTGTTGGAGGAGACATACAATGACATTAACTGATCAGCTGGAAGGCTTAAACATTTTCTGAGCATAAACCCCTAAATCTATGCCAGGCCCAACATACTGATGAAAAGGTGATACTTAGTTTTTCGGCACATAACTACTCCTGCACTTTTGTGCTATTGAAACCGTTCAAGTATTTCAACAGGTAGGTGCGAAAGCACAGTAAGACAGGGAAAATGTTTTTACATTCTTACCTCTCTGTCTAGCCCACCAGCATTGACTCTGATGACTCCAGTGACTGGATTGATGACAAACAGGTAGTCGCTGGGCAACAATGGATCCTGACTCAAAATACGGTAGCGGATATCTGAGTTGTCAGAATTTGGCTGGTCAGCATCTGTGGCCGTAACTGTAATCACCTCAAAACCTGGACAGAGGGAATCCAGAAGAGTAAATTAAGTACATTTTAGGCCTAAAGTATCAAGTACCCTTATGAACCAGATTATGCTCTAACAAGGTATTTGATAAAGCCAATCCAAGGCTAGCATGGAAGTCCAACAAGAAAAAACACCACTCTGGTTAAAATCAAGCAGATCATCTTCCATACCACCCCCCTCCAGGTTTCTCCATCATTGTCAGCATGAGCCCTGAACTCCCTCAGAAGAACTAGAGTCCCCAGGTGTTGCCCCTTCCAGGACAACCATGAAGGCCTGATACTCCAAACTCCCGGGGGGGGGTCTTGCGAGAATCATTACATCCCCATATAGTAGACTCAAATTACCCCAATATATAAAAAAGTTGTGTACAATCAATGATCACTGAGTGAAGCTTGAGTTTCCCTTTTTCTTTTTTGTTAACTCCATTTCCATTTCTTAAAAGTCTCAACCATTTTTTTATAACAATCTCAACACATCACAATTGAACTGCTTTAATACCTGTTCTACTTGTTTTCTCTTATCTCCTACTTCCCCCACTTATTTCTCTGACGTTGTCTCCTCTCGTTTCTCTGTGTGTATCTCACTCACTGACTCGAGTCTCAATGGTTGGCTGAGTGGCAGCACGTGACCAGTGCCATGAAAGCTACTCAATAAGTTGTAGGTTATAAATGCAGGTAGATCGGTGCCTGGGTCCGGATCTGGACCCTGGTCCGCCTATCAGTGACCTCTGGGTTAGAAGTTACATTAGAAAAAGTTTCATTCAGGACTGCCACATCCACTGTGTAGAAGCATCAGGTCCTGGATTTCACTACATTGAAGTTTAGGACAGACATCAGCAGCTATATCCAGCTCCTTTCTCAGTCTCTCTAACGTGAAACATAATGTTGAAAACCAACCAACATATTTTTCAGACTAAGTAAACTGACAGTACCATTTGGTGAGGCCTCAGGAACTTCTCCCAGGAAGGTATCTTGAGTGAAAACAGGTTTGTTGTCATTCTGGTCTATTACATTCACTACTATATCCATGGGCTCCTCAGCATTTCCTGCACCTTCTGCCACAGCATGAGCTTGAAACTGCACACAGGAAAACACATTTGAATTACAAATACTGTACATGCAAGAATAACTCATACAGTCAGATGCTTTCATTCCATCTCAGTAGAACATGTGTACAGATGATGTGATACACATTCCAGCCACTGGTTTTACACTAAATCACTGATCTGCATACATTTCCCACATTTCAAGCAAGAAACAACCATAAGACATGAAGAGAAAAATGGCAGAACCTTTTGAGGAGATGCAATGTATTAAATGGCCTCACAGACCACCACTACAACGCTGCCTCTTTCTTAAGAGCTACATAACTACAACCTCCTCCACCATTGCCATGTTGTGAGAATATTTTAACTGAGCTGCCCTCTAGTGGATATATTGCTTAACAACATGCCATAGTAAATGATTCATGGAAGTACATGGGCAGTGACGATTACATCGTTTGAAATGGATGCATCTATTTGTGTATGTAAAAGGAGCATAAAAGAGTGGAGTAACCGTTGGGTTCTTGGTCTCCTCCCTGACCAAGACTTTTCTTGCCACAGTTACTGAGGACACTGTTCTCCTGGGAACACTCAAAGCTTTAAAATGGTTTTAGACTTTGGCCCAGATCTATGACTTACAAAAAAATGATCACAGGAGTCTATTGAAAGCTCCTCAGACTCCACTGTTAATTGTGGGACCTTATATACTAAAGTGTGAGCCTTTCTAAACTATGTCCAATTAATTTAACCTGCCAGAGGTGGACTCCAATGAAGTTCTACACATAAAGGATTATTAAAACTAACAGGAAGCACCTGACCACAATTACAGCAAAAGATCTGAATACTGAAATAGGATATTTAAGTGTCAGATTTTTAATAAAAGTGAAGAAAATCCTGAAAATGTGTTTTAACTTTCTTTTATGTTGTTGAGTGTAGATGGATGGGTTAAAATGACATTTTCTTCCATTTAAAAGTTAAGCTACATCACAACGAAGTGTGCAAAAAGTGAAAGTGTGAATACTTTCTGAAGCCACAGCAGAGTTTACTTTTACATTTACTTCAGCAGGAAATTACTTCTGAGGGGAAACAGGGTACACATGTTCTCAAGTGTGGTTTCCTATGACTCCACATCTGATCCTGAAAAATGGACAAAAAGTGTATAAAACTGATAGAAGGGGATCTTACATTGTACTTGGCCACCTGCTCTCTGTCCAGAGGCTGTGTGACATACAGAATACCAGAGTCTCTGTCCATGGTGAAAAGGCCAACAGGAGGTTGATCAGCTCCTGGACCAGTGATGCTGTAATGGATCTTCTTCACTTTATCTTCATTAGAGCGGATCTGGACAAACAACAAATGTTAGTTGTACCACTCTCACTCGCTACAACCATTCTTCAGCCATTGTTGTAAGAAATCAACTCTGTTCAAAATCAAATTCTCAGTCGCAATGGGCTGTGGTTCAACTTACTTGAACTACTTTAAGGGGATAGGGTCCTCTGTCATTCTCAACAACAGTGAGGTCAGGAATAACCAAGTCTCTTTTCCTCCTCCTCAGCCCATCACCAGACTTGGGAAAGTGTATTACAGGCACTTGTGGCTCCGTTGCACTCTAGGAAAACATGCACACATTTAGTCAGTAAGGGGTTGAATAGTATAACACTAATAGAAACAGATCAACTCCAATCTTATAGTAGGCATTGACTTAATCTTCAAATGTTCTATCAGATAACCATGACCCCGGTACTGTCCAAGGCGACTCCTGTCAAGGGGCAATTTCTCCAGTCATTCTCCCATCCTCTGCAGAAATGGGCAAGTATTAACCAAAATCTGAGGCATAGCCTATTCATCATTATGTGCCATCTTTTGCCTTTGCTCAATTTGCTGTGACCTGAAACGAGCTAGAGGCTTGAAAATTGCTACCATAACTGGAAATGATGTGCTAATGCTTCCCACTGAATATGATTACAATCATCCTGATGATGATGCTATAATTGACAGTCAAAAGGAAAACATATGAAAGGCCGCTGGTCTCACTATCTTTAAACTTAATTAATCTACTGGACTTTCCTCGGCTTTATGAAGCCTGAAACCTGCTTGCCGTCGTAAACCCAGATTCAGTTTTTATTTGGACTACAAAGAGTTTATTTCTTCATGCGCCTTCAGCAGCGTCTCTAATCATACCTCTGTGGTACTAGCTGAGTCCACTTCAGTTAGGTGGTGCTGATGTTGGTGGTGTCTGTGGTCCCCATGGTGATGCTCAACATTTTGGTGGTGGTCCCTGTGATGGTCCCCATGGTGATGCTCATGGTGGTGCCCATGGTGCAGTACCCTGACTGGAACAGTCATTTTGCGACCTTGCGAGTCCCAGGAGTGGATGAAAAAGTCCAGGTGTCCTTCATGAAGAGCTACAGGTCTGTTTACCTGGAGGGAAAAAAACATCAGTGAAGGCTGAAATGCTGCTAACACTGCATGTCTTAAGAAAGCTCCCTACATTAGGCAACTGTGGTCAAGTGAACCACTGGGAGAGTCGTGACGATGATAATCATCACCAGTATGTCTAGGGTAGATTGACAAGAGTGATCATAGCTACTGTAGAGGCTGTCCTAAATCTCTAATAATATAAATCTCAATATGTGCTGTAGGTAAATAAAAAGAGGAGAAATCATGCACATGTAGGGGTCTCTCTGATGGAGGAGGATCCTGGAATCCACATGGGTTATTTTCACTATAATGATGAATGATGTTCACCCATACTGCAACTCTCTAAGAGTCCAACCTATGTTTTGTTACTGCAGATTTGGCTGAAATCCACTACACTGTATTTCAGAAAGAGCTAGCCAAGGACTTTTACATGCACAATTTACATCTTTTACCTCCCTCCCCCTCCTCTTACTTATTTATTACCCAAACACACCCATTATTCAAACTCCTATAAGTAAACATCAGAAATTGTGATTTTGGATTCAAGCGTGTCAAACTGTACTCACCGACAAAATGCCATCTGTCTGTAATGCAAAACGACTATCGTCACTTCTGAACAGAAACAATCTGCGGTCAGTGCAGTCAGTGAAGCCCACTGGGATTGGACAGAAGAGAGATTTATCCATTACAAATGCAGAACATGCCAAGAATTCATTGGCTAGTCTTCAGCACATGAACAAAAAATGCACACTGGATAAAAAAAAGCTACACTAACGAGCCGACGTCAGCTCGTCACAAAAGTACAAAAAACTTTTGGAAACCTGGTGTCCACAGCAGACTGACACAGGGCTCACAGGGACTTTACTTTTACATAAGTTTACCTCATTATTTGAAACTTTGGCCATGTTTAATATGGACATCTGACAATCTAACATTATATATGACAGAAAATAAGGAAAAGCATAAAAGGTCCCCTTTAATTTCAATGTGACCTAAGTTGTGCAATGTGCTGTAACACAAACTCATGACAGCTACACTGAGTGGGTTTCTGTTCACACTCAAAAAAAGGACATAATGCTGGTACATTAACAAAAACAAAGTTACAGCAGTGGTGCACGAGCTTAAAGTGCCGCACTTACTGAGAGAATGAAGAGGGAGACATTGAGGCTACGCAAACATCAAATTTGCTTTACAATGGAATAAATAGTTAAATTACGTCAGTGGCAAGTTACTTAATGAAACATTGAGTTGGTCGAGAATTAAATATAAATGTGTCACAATCAGCGGTGTAGCGGTGACCATTGGGCTTTTCAGTGAAAAGTAAACAAACAGGCAGCAAACCGGCTTCAGTCACTGTCACATTTAACATTACATTATGTTGCTTCCTCACATCTGTGTTGAATAAACTCTATGTATGGCAGGTTAATACGCCAGGTGTAAAACACTAACTTAATACTAGTAGCTTGTAAACTTGCAGCACTTTACCTTTAAAAGCGAAATATTGACATGGCTGTTTACAGAGAAAAGGGCACTTGTTTAAATCTTTAACTATTATTTTTTACTGAAATAATTTGGTTGCTGTATTATTTCTGTTTCAAAAGGCAGCATTAAATAACATTAAAATCTGAAAGAAGAATGCTCATGTGATTTAATACATTGGTAGTCTTGTTAAATAAATGAATGAATAATAATCGTGAAACTGTGATTCTTCCTCAGACAATAATCAAACCTTCAAAGTTGATAATCGCTGCAACCCTAGCTGTGACACATTTAACATTTATCAAAAAAACTGCAGCTCCTGTGATTTGGATATTGCACTTGGCCATATTGGGATTTTGATTACATTTCGATTAATTGTTCAGCTCCAGTTACAGCATGTCTACAAGAGCACAGCAACGACACCTGCTGCAAGGATAAGCTGATTATCATCATCACCACTTAAACTCTAACCTTGCTCAGTAACGTCTGTAAGCAGCAAGATGTTACTGCTTTTCTCCTTGAGTAATTTAATTAATCAGTGCAAACATATCACTTGACTTCCTTATATGAAGATATACCATGATATTTAGAATTCTTTAAAGTATGACTTTCAATACCATCAAAAACATATGCTCCTTCTAGTAAACTGGCATAGATGCTATATTAATGTGCTTTAGGTAGTGCACAACTCACACCACCAGAGGTCAGTCATGATATAGGGAACTGGTAGAACAGGCTGGAGAGCTGGTGGGTACAGGACTCTGCTGCAATAATGTGGGCATGTAGCCAAATATTTACTGTCGATAGTGAATGTAGTTATGCTGAGCGAATATTCGGGACAGCCAGAAAAACAGTCATCCCACAACACTGCAGACTAAAGGCAGACACAGTAAATATGCTAAAGATTTAATTAGATTCATTTTATATTTATATCATATTTTTCTATCTTGTTCAGCCAAAAACTCCAACATGACTACCTTTAAATTAACACAATAGAGTGTGTGTTTCATTAACCATCTTTATTTCATGCGTACAGCAATGAATGATGTGAAAGTTGCAGTTGTTGAAGTTTCAAGTATTCCTGTATTGATGGGAAAATTTATTTATTACAGCAGCCATGAGAAATGACTGGCGCTGTTGTCATTTTGTGCTATTATCATTTAATTTTACATATGATTAAATATGATACATGTGTGACACTGACTTCTCCTTCATTCTCCTTTCTCCACAGAGGGAACATCTCACTCAGTAGACTCAGTACCCCCCACTTCTTCCTCTACCTACCCAAGTTCAGTCTTACTCCTTACTTGCTGTCTCAATCCATCTGACATCAATGTTTTTCCAGTTTTTCCAGTACAAGGTAGATCTCAACTAATGTTATACAACTCTTTAAGCTGCAAACAGTAAAGTGGAAACCTAGTTCAATACAGCTTAAGCTTGTGTTAAACAGACAAGCAAAGACACGAAAATCAGTTGAGTAATTGATGAAAATGATAGCAGTGGAAAACTTTCATGATCAGACAGATATGGCAGTTTCATGGCAGTGAAAGAAAAGGCCTTGCAGTAAACTGACACAAAAATAAACATCAAGTGCTCTGTTTCTTTGTATATTTGACACCGTTTGAAGAGCCAGATCTGCAAAACAGGCTCAGGGACATTGTTTAGCCCTGCAGATAAGAGTATTATATGAGGTGCAGCGAGTGCAAGCTGAGACGTGAGGTTGTTTTGGCTTTGTGTGAAAACTGTGCTCACAGTTATTCTGTAGAAGGCCATCTCAGCCAGAGCAGCACTTTACAGAAGCTGAGGAATTTAATCTATGGCTATAATTTGGGTCTAGATGCTTCCATAGCTAACAAATAGCACACAGTTTCACTCAGGTCTGTGTGCATTGGGGCAATGAGTGAGAGCAACTTCCTGGATTGTTCTTACCTCTGCCCAGTCTTAAGCCCTTCCTCAGGAGTGTTCTGGCCACTTTGAAAATCAACAAATCTGTCTCAAATCCAGGTGTACATGTTGGCTCCTCAACAGCACCTGAAGCTGAGGCCTAGGAGATGAAAAACAGCATTTCAATTAATCATATGCCAGATGTATAGAAAAGGTGCATTCAGTAGGGATTCTACTGGACAAAAATGGCATTTCTTAATTACAACACAATTTCTACAATTGTTGTAAACAAGCTGAAAACACCACACAATGCCACATAGGGCTGGAATCACTTTTTTTTTTTGTTATAATGAAATGTCTTTTATTAGACCACAAAAATATTAAATTCAAAATGATAAAATACAGAGAAAGCAGGAAAAGCCGCTGCAAATTGTCCCATTTAGCAAAGTAAAACTTCTGGCCCAACATATGCCTGGGTACTCGGCCGAGTCTGACCCATATACTTCCACATCTGGGCAGATTCTGCTTGTTATAATCTGTTATTGGCTGTATTGGTCGAGATGTGGAAGTAGCATTTGACAATCATGGTGTATATTGGACAGATTTGGGCCGTGGAACCGGGTGTATACAGGGCCAGAAAAAAACAGGTATGTGGCCCAAGTATTGGCTGGATTTATTTTGCTATCTGGAACTAGCATACTTAGCATTTTCTTATTATTAAGTAGCAATCGATTCAACCATGTTTACTCATTTCAAGGTCCATCAATCATTTAACTCTGAATTCTGGGTCTATAATTCTGCATGGGCACTGCGTTCAAACACAACTACTACAACTCGTATATTTAAGAAACTATATCAACACACAAGTGTAACAGATCGATGTGAACAGATTGTGTTCGAACAAATCGAAACGTGTTGCACTGAAATTTAACCTGCCGATGACGACATCAACAGAACAAGGGCGAGGCCCGCGAACATCCACCGACTCCTGACTCCTCTAAAAATGGCAATTTAAAGCTGAATTTGAGTTCGTGGTCTGACATGTTTACATAACTTGGAAATTAGTCGCGAATTAAAACCTTCTATTCAAACTTTACATTCACGAAGCAGCGCTCTGTTAAAATACTATTTGACCGTCGACGTCCGCCCCAACCCCCACCCCCGGCACGGTGCCTAGGCAGGTAGACTATTAAAGTACAGGTTTAACTGAAATAAAAGGGCGACCGGTGCATAAGCGAAATAACCAACATTATCCGCCAAAAGAAAGAACCCCCCCCCCCCACACACACACACACACACATATATATATATATATATATATATCCCCCCCCCCCACACACACACACACACACACATATATATATATATATATATATATATATATATATATCTATGTGACGTGAATAGTAAGGCAAAGAGCAAGTCTTAGTGTTACATTAACTACCAGCTTTTTGAAAAAGTTCAACACGACGGAATTGGGTGGACGTCGCCTGTGAAGTCTCAACGACAGCCGGAAATCTCACCTGAAAAATGGCGATTAAAATGCCCAAAACCGCGAACCGAGCAGTCCCCATCTGCCCGTGAATCCTCTGTCAGTATCGAAATCAATCAAAGTTTAAAAACTATAATCCTTTACGAATCGTCGTCGTGACTTCTTTGCCCTGTGTCCTGAAGGTAGTTTCGGTAACTGAATGACTTCAGCTGGACTAGTTGCTGCAGGTACTTTCAGGCGGGTGACGTCACTTTACAGGTGTGCGGGTTCCGTGTTCCCGATATGGTCATACAGGCTGAACACACCTGAAGGGACAGATACCAGTAGTTTCTATTACTTCCTGGTCATTAATCGCCGAATGATAGGCTACTCAGAAGATAATAGTCAGTACGCCGCCAGTTGTTATTAACAGACAGAGCTGTGTTTGAGCTCAGTCAGCTGCATTCACTACTTTCTGTCTCATTTCCTCTTACTGACAATCACTAACCAACCCCCGACCAACTCACTCACTCACTCTCTCTCTCTCTCTCTCTCTCTCTCTCTCTCTCTCTCTGTCTCACTCACTCACTCACTCACTCACTCACTCACTCACTCACTCACTCACTCACTCACTCACTCACACACACACACACTCACACACACACACACACACACACACCCCCCCCCCCGCCCCACTCTCACTCTCTCTCTCTCTCTCTCTCTCTCTCTCTCTCTCTCTCTCTCTGTCTCACTCACTCACTCACTCACTCACTCACTCACTCACTCACTCACTCACTCACTCACTCACTCACACACACACACACACACACACACACACACACACTCACACACACACACACACACACACACACACACACACACACACACACACACAACATGCTGGAACTGTCTGCAAACAATCCACAATATGTTTTAATATTGACAACCCTTATTTTAATAACAATAACAATAATACCTTTTTTTAAAATCTATTTATGTATTTATTTACAAGACACCCAAGGACACTTTACTAAGCAAATAAAAACATTCAGAAAGATAAAGACAATGTATGAATGAGAGATTTAAATATACACAAACACATACACATGCATTCACATACATACACTTATACACACATACATATACAGTATATATAATGTATCTACACATATACATGTATACATACACACATACTCATATACACATATAATATTTGGTGATGTAAGTGTGAAACCAATCTAAAAGTGTTTGTAAAGTCATTAGTGTGAAACCATCCTGAAAACCACACAGTGGCTTTCTAAAAACAGTGCAAGTTTCAGGTTACCCATTTTCATACAACTAAATGAGATCTGTATAAGAACAGTGAGGCAGAGAGATTCGGGATGTTACGCAACACAGGTTTTAGGCACGATCTGATGTATTGCTATATTTACACAGTACACAGATTAGGCTCACTGCTCTGTACCATGACACTCCCTACAGGGGTGATACAAAAAGACAAAACAGTCTCATAGTAATTTCAGGAGTCATTTGGGTATGCAACATCTCATAAATCATGGACTAATAGGCACTAGTACACAGAGCCTTATTAACCATTTTCTTAAAGTGCTTATTGAAGTCTCCAGGGTGATAAACATCAATAATTAAACCCTAAGACAAGAGTACTTCCTTCATCCTACTATCCTTTTTCCCATGATTGTCTGGACATCAACTGACTGAAAGATGAGTAGGTTAATAGCCTGTACTATGACCTGATTTTGCAGAGTTTCAAAGGGACTATGAACTGCCCAGCAACTTCACACACAAAGTCATAGGCTGGTTGATAATGAAGCTTGATTTAATTTATTACTATTAATTTAACAGGCCTTTTGTGTACCTGAACTAAATGTATGAGCTGAAAATGAAAAAGTAAAATGATATACTGTACAATAATCTCACTTGATGCTGCCATTGTTCTGCAGGTTGCTTTTAGCGTAAAATTTCTAGCTTGTTGTTTTTTTTCACTTTGCATTCATAAACCCAGAAAACTCAATATGTTCAAACTGTATATTTATATCTTTGTTTTTTCATCTTTAAAAATGTATTTTGTATTTTTGTGGCATAATTTACATCAACAGTTAAGTTGCCCAAGTTTCATAACTCTGACTCTTTGAAATTAAATATTTTCACAGTTCTGTGAGAATTTAACACTCATAACTTTACTTAAACTGAAGAAGAATTTGGTTAACACTGAGTTGGAAAAAATGACATTTGTTCCACATCCTTGACAAGGTGACTAAGACTGACAACTGACTTGTGACTGGACCAGTTGCTAAGTGTGACAATTGCTTTGTCCCAATCAGCTCAGGATCGAGGAATCAGCCCACATGGGAGGCTCCTTCAAAGAACCTGAAAGCTATTCTGAACTTGCTATTCCTCTCCAAATGAGGCAGTGTCGCAGAGATCAAAACTAATTATGTATTCAGATGGTCCTTATCAACTCACACACATTACAAAGTTTAGGGGTGCCCTCAGATTGCAGACAAAATGTAAATAACACTCAAAAAACATGAGCAACTTATGTGAGTTTACAGAATGAGTTTTCATGTTTCCCTAAGACACATGTTGGGTGACATGAGGGTACAAGGTCTTTTCTCTTTTAAATCACGTACTGTGATGGACAAAAAAAGACAGAATGTGCTTGGCCTGTTTGTAGCATGACCAGCTAACATCTGTGGACAAGCTAACAGTCATCCCCAAATACTGCCAGTGTCAAATGAATAACTACAGTATTTAAATACTTTGAAGTTCAGTGGTTTGTAGGAAGCATTAGGTGCTTATTGTAAATGCCAGTAAAATATTTTTAATGTTTTAAGTTAGACTCAGTGATACATTTGTGCATTTTCCCTCTGTCCCTCTTGGCAATGCTACCTAGGAACCAGATAATGCTACAATTAGGCCATTTAACTACATTATATTAAACAGAAGATTTTTGTGCTCAGAGATTCAATGTGTTGAACACTGAAATGGCCTCTTATCTGTGTACGGTCCTTAAATGACGCTGTTGATAAATATATGATGTTGATATAACGTTAACTAGAATAACTGTCCTTGTAGGCTAGTAGGAGATTCTTGCTACGGGGCTTTACAGCAGTTTAATATTCTTTTTAATCCCAGGTTGTTTAACGGATTGAGACTCCTTTATCTTTCGCTATTTGCATTATATTTAACAAACTTTGATGTTTGTGGTTCTGAAAATGTTAGTTCAACACTCTCGCATCAGTTATGTGTTGAGGTTAACACTATAATGTTAGCTTATAATGTTCACATTTTAGCAAATTCAGACCTTCCATACTATTGGCAAAAATATAAGAATATATACCATTCAAGTTTTGTTGGGTGAACTGCAACAGCAGGGCCAGCCCTGTAAACACAAATACATGACGGAGTGACCGACTGACTAAGTGATCAAGTTATACCATTGGTCGGTTGGCAGAGTGTAAGAGTTGTCCCCATTGCTCTTTCAAAATGAATTGGCACAAACAGATTTTATTAGGGGGCGTTTATAGCTGGCAGTTGCCAACTTAATGTGTTTGTTGCTAGATTCAGTTTTGACGGACATGCTTGGACATGGCAAATCTGTTAAAAGGGCCCCTGAAAAGATATAGAAAATATCTTTAAAATGTTTTTGAAGACTACTCTTGAAAACTATGTCTATCCAAAGAACATTTAAGATTGACCAATCATCAATTTAAATCTCATTTAGCATAATGTAAAAGTATGAAAATTGACTGATATAAATTTACTAGTTCGAGCACAACCCAAAAAGGTGACATTAGCTACAGTTAAAGAAACAGCTGACGGTTTGAGTTTGTTTTCAAAAACATCTGTTACTAACCTATCCTCTTTGCAGAAACATGTTTTTTATGTACTTTTCTTCCATCTTATAGTAACCTTATAATTCCAAGGGGATGAATTGCCTGAACACGATTAATCATCAGGAAAGTAAAACAAAAACAAGAAAAAAGAACTGAGAAATTTAATTTGTCAGGACTGAGATTTTAGTGCACATGAAATCTTCCATCACAGGCATGCCTATATAGTCTACAATGTAAACCTCTTAAAGCATGAGAGTGAATAAGCATGAAAGACGGGGGATTTTTTTCTGAAAAGCAATTACGTGATGTTATCTTTTGCTCTACTCCTCCATCAGTCATCTGTCCTTCCCACAGACTGACAGAGGGATGTGGGGGCAGAATAAAGGGTGGTCAGTTTACAGTGGCCACCACTTAGCCAGTGAAAAGCATCAATGTGGGATAGAGAGGGAGATACAGAGGGAAGGAGAAAAGAAAAGAGGAGGGAGGGATGTAGGGGGCAGTAATGGAGGAGGGCAGTGTCAGATTACATGGATAGTTTCCTTGAGTTTGAAGAGTGAGTGATTCACTTCTTTATGTCCGACTATGGCGGTAATCATACCTCTGATGTCTGTGTAGAGTGGACTATAAGTCACATATCAAACACGTCATGTGACTGGTCATATCAAAGCACATCAACAAGGTGGAACCACATATGGCAACATTGTGTGTAAAGTGAATGAGTGAATTTGCTTTTAAATAAATGAGAACACCGGCCGGCTGCTCCCTGTGTAAAAATGCGACCTTGGAGTTGCTGCACAATGGTAGCATAGCTGAATGAAAACACACAACACTACACTCCATTCCATAATCAAAAACACATACCCGAATTACTCTCTCTATGAAGACAGCTAAAAAATTGGAAAAATAAGAAAACCAGCAGGAGCAACCACAGTCACACATTATTATGACATCTTAACTAATATTACTCGTACTCTGATGAGTGTGACTTTCTTAGGGTTCTTGGGATGGCAATGTCTCTCGGTCAGTAGATCCATCACTTCATACTGAAACAACGACCAGGGGTATGTCCACTACTACTACTGGTTTTAGTTTCAAAGGAGCTATATGTAAGTGTTGCTATTGCTATATAACTGTTTTATCAAGAGCTTTCACCATCGTTGTGTTTACAAGACAAGAGGTTATGATACGTCTTCTGAGCAGCTACAGTGACTCGGTATCAGAAAGTGATGAGATGGATTGACCGGGCCAGGGCTAGCTGGTTAGCATGCTAACATCAGTAGAAATTACGTGAGATAAGAGGAGGAGACAACTGTTGGTGAGTAAAGAGATGAAGTTTGATGATGAACTCATAACATTTCTTCTAGACTGGTAAGTAAACAGCTGTTAATGCTAACGTTAGCTATTAGCTATAAAGCTATTTTAAAATGGCATTATAAAATGAAATTGATCTCCGATCAGATGACTGTTTTAGCTCCGTATCAGAAACGATCTCCATCCACACTAACACACCTGAAAATGCATAGATACATGGCCACGTGCACTGGGCATATGTAAGCCAATGTAAACAGGGAGCAGTCTACT